GTTGAAGAAATTATAGGGTGGTAATTGATAAGCATTTCTCTTTTTTAGTGGGACCCGATGAGATGAAACTTGAGAAATTTAATCATGTATATTAAAATCAAGGAGACAGGAGAACGATAACCATGGTGAAATGTCATATGCAGGATTACAATGTGAATAGTAAGAACATGCCTACATAAGAGGAAAAGCGAATGTGTATTTAAGGGCTGTCTAGAATAAATTTTGCAAAAAGTGAATTTTATTATTATTATTATTTTAAGTATGTGTAATTAAAAGCAGAGAAAAGTTTATACGGAAGATTATTTTATTCAAAAAATGTATAATTTTAAATGAGTTTTTTAAAAAAAAAAATAAATTAATTAAAGAATCTACACAAACATGGACTTAGTAAATAGTATTGAACATGACTATATATTTGGTTTTGATTAGTTTCATTAATGTTGTCAGAACTTCGAACATTTTCAAGAAACTTTTTAAACATAAGATACTCTTTACTTTGAAGAGCATATCTTTAAAATTATGTTTCAAAGGACTCTATAAGTTAAGAGAGTTAAATTCACTCTCTAAAATTAAATATATTTAAAGTATTTCAATTTTCAATTAAGGAAATTAATATAATTATTTCAATTTTCAATTAAGGAAAATAATATAATAATTTCAAAGGAAGCTAGTGAAACTAAAATATAGGAAAAAATAATAAATATTTTCGAAAGTAGTAAAATTAAATATTAAATATAAGAATAATACTATTTAGCCTCATTAAGATTATAATCCCTATTTAATTGAAAATGCTTTTAAAGTATTTTCAATAGACTCTCTAAATACAAAATTTTCTTTATATTAAAGAGTTAATACTTAAATATTAGTTTCAAGAGATTCTCCGTTTTAATTTTTTTAAATAGAAAGTTGATTCGACTATTTAAATTTAGAGAGTCAAATTCACTTTCTGCTCTTAATGTACAATAATTGTATTTAATAAGTCAAATATTTCAATTTATACTCTTAAACTATTCAAATCACATTTAAATTGATTGGTCATATAAAAATTATGTTAAATCAAAATATGAGAAAAAAAAAATCAATAAGTGTTTCTTGAGAGAAATAAAATAAAGAACCAAAGTAAAGAGTATCATTGGAGTGCATAAAAATTTTGACTCTCTAATTACTTATTTCAATTGAAATAATGCTAATTATCATTTGAAAATTTGATGAATCTGTTTCGAAATTTATTACTCGTTATTCAAAATCGTTGCGTGTTCCTTTCCAAGTCTCCATTTTAACCTAACTTTCAATACTTGATCTATAATTACATTTCTTGAAACACCTGATGCAATCAAATCTTCCGCAATTACGTTAGAAGATAATATTTTAACATATCATTTTTCTTCTTTTAAATTATAAATGGGTATTTATAATATTTTACACGACACGTTATCAAGTAATTGGATCATCCATTCTCTAAATTGTGAAAGCAAAGTCTTACCAAGTAGAGTAAAATTTCAAAAGGTCACAAGACAAAGTGTCCAAGTTGAATAACCTTTGGAATCAATGAGGAGGCCATAATGAATAAGGATAAGATCAAATGCTATGTGGCTATTGATTTAATCAATTTTCCTTTATCCACTTTCACTAAACAAAGTGGCTTTAAGTTTTACATTTCATAAACATTTTTCATTTACGAATGTCACTCTATACATAATTAGTTTATATTATTAGAGAAGCAGTTCGATAGTTAATAAACGTTCTATTTTTGTTTCTTTACCAAATAATTTTACTATGTCTCATCCCGAGCCCCATAAATCTTTAGTACAAGAGCATTCGGCTGAGTTACACATTCTTCGCAACCTTCATACCAATTAATTCATACTAGATAGGATTATTCGAAAAAAAATATAAATTCCCTTATATTCTGTCCCTTTGCTCTTACCAATTAATTTCTCCCTGTCTCCACCCAACCCGCGCCACCCCCACCTTCTCCCCAAAGGAAAAGGGTGTACTTCTTTGTTATAATGGCTTGGTCAATTTAGATTCAAATCATTAATGTTGGACCAACTTACTACTGCCTTTAAAATTTAGTTTGTTGGTAAATAATCAAAACATTTAAACATGCCCAATCAACTCTTTTTTTTTCACGAAAGTAGCTAAAAACAACATAGTATTAGTATATTAGAAGTAACTAATGTATGGAAACACAATTTAAAATACCATTTAAACCAGAAAAAAAAATATTTATAGAATTTCGAGCGAATTTAGGGAGGATTTCAGATTTGTCCAAATAAAAAATACAACTCACACGCACATTTGGCGGAGGAGAAGAAAATGCAACTAAGTAAATTGATTTATTTTATTTTATTTTTTCCATCTCACTTTGAAAACAAACTTATTGCTAGAGTTTTCGGTAAAATAAAAATACTATTCCTTTCATTTTTTACTCCAAAAGGTTCGAGTTGAAGGAATTGATGTAAAAAATTTGTTATTGTAGCCAATAAATATATATATATATATATATATATATATATATATATATCGAAATGGAAAAATTAATGCAACTAAAGCAAAATTGGGCCCAAATATCAATTCAAGCCCAAGAGCAAGTTCAAATATGACTACAGCTACGACCCACTTGGCTCATTTAGGGCCCATATCTAAATTCTTCAATTGGGCCTAATTATCGCTTTTCAGAAAATTTTGATAACTTTTAACTAATTTTAATTTTATTAATTTCGTACTCACTTTTAATATTTTTTATTCCCAAACTACTATTTTTATTTCTTTTTATTTTATATCTTTTCAATATATTTTGTAAAATCATGTTACACACGTTTTTCGTCCCTAGTGTAAAGTTTGGGACTTTTTAAATTTTTTACCCTATTAAATTAATACTCAGATGAATTATCAAAAAGTCGTTTATAAGGTTGGGCTAATTTATACCCCAAAAAAAAAAAAATTGGAATGTTATGAAATGTAATGTTTAAAAAATTGGAATGGGTATTAACCCGTAAAAGTAAATAAATAGTTCGAGTGGGATTGTTTCCAATATCAACATTAATATGATAAATAAATAAAATTTAATGTAAAAATATTTATAATTTTCATTATTAATATAAAAAGATAAATCAAACATTAGTTTGGCTTGTGTTTCAATATCCAGTTTTGAGTTCATCTTTTATTTTATGTCTTAGAGGGTCAGTTTTAAAATTGTAAAAATTAAGTTTGATTTGTCATTTTAAAAAAATATTTCTCAAAACAGAAAATTGGAAAACACGTTTGGTTTGAAATTTTGAAATATTATTTTATGACATTTTAATTCAAAAAATTTGATTATTCAATAAAAGTAAAACAATTTAATGTTAATATATTATCAAATAATATGTATATTTTAACGTTGGTGAATTTTACATATTTTTCTCACTACAAAAGTAAAATAAATAATAAATAATAAATTGAGTTCAAAATGTATGAAATAAAAAATATTGTTATTTGTGTTCGTTTGAAATTATTTTTTATGTTTTAATTTTTTAGAATTTTATTTTTTTTTGAAATTTTTTATTATTTTTAATCTTTAAAATTTAACAAAGTTAGTTTTTGAATTTTTTTGAGTTTTATTTTGAAAATTTTAATATTTTATTTATTAGAATTTTATATTTTTATATAAAAGCTTGCTTTCCATGTTTCAATGTTTTCAAAATTTTCATTTAACATAGTCAAAACGTCAAAAATATATTTTGAATTTTATGTTATAAGTTTTACCTTGTTTTCGTAAATATATTTTCAAAAAAAATAAAAATCAAACCAAAAACGTTTTTATTATTTTGCAAACTAAAAATTGAAAACAAAAAACTAAACGCGGTCTAGAATTCACGTAGGCCTCCCAAAAGGTAACGAAGGTGTGCAAAGGTTTTTTTGGGCGAGACGGAGAACAATTTACATCAGTACATTCATGACGTGAACTAAAAGAAATAAGGGTTCGTTCGACTGCAAAAATAGAATTTGAGTGGAAAAGAAAACGAATTTTAGGGAATTGAATTACCTAGATATTGTGTTATTGAGAATTGTCAATTATTGTATTTGATTAGTATAATTTTTAACTGAAAAATGTTGAAATTAAAATGTCTTTTCGTGCTCGCTTGACTTTGTTTTTCATGAAAATTATTAATTTAAGGGATATCATATTTTACAATTGTTCATAGAATTTGTTTCTATTGCAGAAAAAATAAAAAATAATAAAATAATCCAAGAAAACCAAAAATATCCAAAAATTATCTATCTTTTGGTGTTCGTTTGACTTTATTTTACATGCAAATTGTCAATTTAAGGGATATTCTTTTTTACACTTTTTCCTAGAATTTGTTTTAATTGCATAAAAATAAAAAATTAAAAAAAAAACATGGAAAACCAAAAGCCATGAAAATCAAGAAAATACTATCGTGACGCCAAAGTGGGAAAATCAATTAAATAGGCCAAAAGTAGAAGTTGAAATTTATTTTTCATTTTTCATGGAAAAAATTGGGCTATCTAACATAGCTAACATAAAACCCCAGAATTTTCACTTATAACCCTCAATAAAAGCAAACTTGCCTATCTAAATACACCCACCTATTCTCGTACCAGTGTCAATTGGACTAAAGATGTGCACCACCAGATTCAGATTATTCCAAGGCAATATCAAGGGGCAGTCTGTAATCCACATGGCAACTCAATCAACCAATCACATATCCACACTCCAATCCTTCAAGATAAGCTCTCTTTATCACATTAATTCTGATTCTCATTTCTACACTTCTCACACACAGAATTCAACAAAAAATCAGTCGACATGGCGGCCTCTGCCTGTGCTTCATCGACCATTGCAGCTGTTGCTCTCTCATCAACCAGAGCAACAAAGGCTTCGTTCTTATCGGGAAGAAAACTGAGAGTAAGCAAGAATGCTACATCAACCGGAGTGAGATCGGTTACTGTCTGTGCTGCAGCTGATCCTGACAGACCATTGTGGTTCCCTGGAAGCACCCCTCCACCGTGGCTCGATGGCAGGTTTAGAGACAATCCAACATCCTAAGTGCACCTTTAGTATGCATATGCTTGTATTTCTTAATATCTAATCGAATTTCTATCGTGCAGTCTCCCTGGAGACTTTGGCTTTGATCCTCTTGGCCTAGGTAAGGCTTCAAGCCAAAATATGTTTGCTTTCATGATCTCCCGTACAAATATTCATGTAGAGAAGAACTTCTTTTTGAATAACAAATAATATAGAGCATTCTTTTGTTTTATTCTTACACAAGGCTCACTTAATCTGAAAGAAAAGTACTAAAAAGTTCTAAAGACTTTAAAACAAACGAACATTTGATGTAAATTTCTTACAGCGTCTGATCCTGAGAGCTTGAAATGGAACCAGCAAGCAGAGCTTGTACACTGCAGATGGGCCATGTTAGGTGCTGCAGGGATTTTCATCCCCGAGTTCCTGACAAAGATTGGCATCCTAAACACTCCTTCATGGTACACTGCTGGCGAACAAGAATACTACACTGATACCACAACACTCTTCATCGTTGAATTGATTTTCATTGGTTGGGCCGAGGGAAGACGATGGGCAGACATCATCAAACCTGGGTGCGTGAACACCGACCCCATCTTCCCCAACAACAAGCTCACAGGAACTGATGTTGGCTACCCCGGTGGCCTCTGGTTCGACCCACTAGGATGGGGATCTGGATCTCCTGAAAAAGTAAAGGAGTTGAGGACAAAGGAGATCAAGAATGGAAGGTTGGCCATGTTGGCCGTGATGGGAGCATGGTTCCAACACATTTACACCGGAACAGGACCTATTGATAACCTCTTTGCTCACCTTGCCGATCCCGGCCATGCCACCATTTTTGCTGTAAGTGTAACTTCAGGCTTAAACTTTAGCTACACCTGATATTTAGAGAGAGATGAACATTTTAGACGCGTTAGTCCTGCATACAGCAAGTACACATTTCATATAAAACGTGAGCAAGGTGCTTATACTAATTTGCTAATGGTGTTACAGGCTTTCAGCCCCAAGTGAAAGAAGCAATGAAGTCACTTTAACGCGGAAGTATGGGAGAAACACCAGCAACAATCATTTTGGACAAAGTATTGACAGCGTGTTTTCCCAATTGATGTTGTATCATCGAGATATGTATTGCCTACATATTTGTCTGCTGTAGAAAAAGGTTTATGCAGTGTACAAATACCTGAGAAATTCTAATCCCGTATATACAGTTAGGCTTATATATCTGACATTTGCACGATGAAGAGAAGTCACGGCATGTTACATTGTTATTGGTCAGAACAATCGGATCAGAGGAACATAAAATGAAAGACGAGAAATACACAGTTCGAAAACAATACGATCGACTATTCAAAACTGCTATAAAGTTTCGAACCTCAATTTTTTAGAATTAGAATGGACCTTAGCTAACCGGAAGACCCAAGGATGAACCAGCCGAGTTACGCGCACATAAAGAATAACAACAATGATAAAAGAAACAGGTTAAACCTTATTTGTAATAAATATGGTATATCATTGAAAGGCAAATAGTTCAATTCAGTGCTACATTTATACAATACTAACAATTATTTCTATTATTGTTGCTGTTATTTTTATATTTGTATTTATCTGATTGAGTGAACAAACCTTCCCAATACTAGAATATTTTGCATTAAGCAGCTGCATTTGTGTCTAATCTAACCTGATAATATGGAGTCAGATTTTAGGTTGTCTGTACCATTCTAATGCATCGTTCTTATTTCTCCAACATATGTCAGAAACTTGAGATCACAAACATGGAATTAAATTGTTGGCGGGCTGCCTCTCTATTCTTGGCTGGCCCAAATTTAGTGATATTGGGCCCTGCTGGGTTGGTTAATCCAACGGGTTGAAATGGTTGGAAATGAAAAGCGTTTTTTGGAAACACGTTTTTCTTAATAAAGGACGACTGTTGTGGGCCTTACACTTGGCACCTTTGTGATCGTTGGATCGTTGATATTTTGGTGGACTGTTAACGTCTTTTGACTCTTCATTTTTGCCCTAATCTAAGCGAATGGTTCTAAGGTTTTCTTCGTCTTCTCTCTGAGGGTTTTCTGAACTCTTCTATTCTTGCATCTTTCTGAAAACAATCTCTAATCTGAGTGATATTAGGGTTGTATTTGGTATACGATCTGTGAGATTGTAGAAAACTGAGTGTTGTATAAAAGAGAAGCAAAAGAAAACTGAACTTGAAGGAACTGTGGTTTCTTCATACATTTTTGTATCGATTCTTTGTGATTCTTAGTGAATTCGAGCCTAATCTACTTTTGTAGATTCTCAACGGGTGAGTAAGCCTTTTGGCTAAACATCCAAATTCAGTGCTACATTTATACAATACTAACAATTATTTCTATTATTGTTGCTGTTATTTTTATATTTGTATTTATCTGATTGAGTGAACAAACCTTCCCAATACTAGAATATTTTGCATTAAGCAGCTGCATTTGTGTCTAATCTAACCTGATAATATGGAGTCAGATTTTAGGTTGTCTGTACCATTCTAATGCATCGTTCTTATTTCTCCAACATATGTCAGAAACTTGAGATCACAAACATGGAATTAAATTGTTGGCGGGCTGCCTCTCTATTCTTGGCTGGCCCAAATTTAGTGATATTGGGCCCTGCTGGGTTGGTTAATCCAACGGGTTGAAATGGTTGGAAATGAAAAGCGTTTTTTGGAAACACGTTTTTCTTAATAAAGGACGACTGTTGTGGGCCTTACACTTGGCACCTTTGTGATCGTTGGATCGTTGATATTTTGGTGGACTGTTAACGTCTTTTGACTCTTCATTTTTGCCCTAATCTAAGCGAATGGTTCTAAGGTTTTCTTCGTCTTCTCTCTGAGGGTTTTCTGAACTCTTCTATTTTTGCATCTTTCTGAAAACAATCTCTAATCTGAGTGATATTAGGGTTGTATTTGGTATACGATCTGTGAGATTGTAGAAAACTGAGTTTTGTATAAAAGAGAAGCGAAAGAAAACTGAACTTGAAGGAACTGTGGTTTCTTCATACACTTTTGTATCGATTCTTTGTGATTCTTAGTGAATTCGAGCCTAATCTACTTTTGTAGATTCTCAACGGGTGAGTAAGCCTTTTGGCTAAACATCCGGGCCCTTAGGGGCAAAAATTCTTGTGTTCTCTACGTTTCTGTAATCTCTTAAATTGTTTACTGCAATCGTTTTTGAATGAAATAATAATCCCGAGACCAACATAAATGATAAAAATATAGGGGCTGGAGGAATAATAAACGTTACTATGAGTTTAAATCTCACACAAATCGATCAGTACAGTAAGAGTAAACCGAAATATCAAAACAGAAAATGGACGAAGTCCATACACTTTAAGCATCTTCTCAATAATCAAATCATGACTGTGAAAACATTTGAATAAAAGATCTATTTTAACTAACATATTTATTATCTATATCTTATATTCTAGTCTGGCTAGGAATTAATGTAGTAATTGATTAATATTTTTCCTTTTCCTTTCATAGATAGGATTGCACTGGTATGTATAGGATTGACTGCACTGGTATGTATAGGATTGCACTTATGCACTTATTCGGACTTTTTGCTTATTTATTGCTAAATCGAGCGGATATCTGCTTAATTTAGTTTATATAGGATTAATAGTAGGTAAAGTTTTAACTTGGATGCAATTGGCGTGAAAAAGGCTTTTATGGAGGTAATTTGAAGTTGGTTCGGAACAATTAAATATTGATGAGATAATGCAAGATATCTTTCCATTAATTTTATCATCAAGTGCATCTCTCACTGACAAATCCACCAATTGGTATGCTAAGGGAACTAAGATACTTTACTATGGCTAATGTGAGGTACTATATCATCATGTTGGATCAAGAATGTGAACGTATGATAATTTACATGTTCTAACATTTTCTTTTAGTCCTAAGGAAAAATAATCTGGGAAATATAGTCAAATCCATATAAACAATTATGATCCTTATATTGGAAGAAAGTGACAATCTCTCTGGACATTATTACCTTTCTTTTGGAAAATGTCAAAAAGCAATATAAGGATTTTTTTCATGTTGCAACGAATATGGTGGAGAGAATTTTTAAAAAATGTGCTGATATGATCAAAACCTTATTTATCACCATTCATAAAAATTTTTGAGATTTGTTTCAATGATTATAGTGCAATTGTTGCCTCTCTTTGACAGCGGAAAGTTTTGAAGAGTGTATAGTCCCCTATCGTGATCACACATGTAGTCGATACACTTAACACTAATATAATTGGGGAATTACCGTATAGCATTGTCATTGAAGTCAACATTCCATGTGTTCTCGACCTCGTGACAAAATTGATATTGCTTACTCTTTTACGTTTCACATTGACTTTGTGTTTATATTACTTCAAAAGAGTGATATTCTCCTAGTGGCCTCATTTTTATCCAACGCAATTATCCATTGGCAAACTTTTCTCTTCAATAATACTAATTACCAACATATTGCGTTAGATCCTCCATTTGTTGTCAATATTCCTAAATTTCATACTAAGATTAAAAAAATAAATTACTTTCAATCATAGGTTAGGATACTCTAATGGTGATTATTATACTTTATTACATGTCTCTTTGAATCAATTTTCTAAGCATGCAACGAAATGGATTTTGATTCATGCACAAATATAATAATTTTGACTCACAATCACACACTTGAATGAAAATTATTTTCAATACAAAATAAAACCATTTTTCCCTGCAGGCCACTCTTCAGCTCTAATCCATTGTACTCCTTAATATGCATAACTAATTGAAATTTTTGAGGAAGAGTTTGCATAAACTTTTACGTTTTGGAGTTTTCTACCAGTATTTGATTAAAAGGAGAGATCGTTCCCCTCAGCCATATCATATTCTTGGGGACTATTTGCAGAATCAGTAATTGTCCATTAATAAGTTTAGATATTTAATTCATAAGAAAGATCACCTTCCTTAGTATGAGCTCAAAAAGATATTGTCAAGAGCTTAGTACGACACTTTGTCAAGACAAAAAATCGATCTCCTTGGAGTATGAAGCTCAGTCTACCTCGTCGAAGTTAAGTTTTCTCAGCTGGGAAGAAATGATGGAGATAGAGATAAAGTTTATAGATTTGAATTGATTCCTCCTATATTGCATTGATTTATCCTAGAATTTTAAAATAGAGTTTAATTTGAATTATGAATAATTAGATGATTAGACTAGTTTAATACTAAGATAAAGTTCTAGTCTAGTAATTATTTTGATTTTAAATTAGTAGCTCTATATATAGACGACTTATTCATTATAATATTCACCCTAAAATATGTATAATAAATTGATTTTCCTCTTACCCTATTTTTTCTTCTTTTTGGATCCCTTTATTTTTTGTTCCATTTCTTATTCATTGTCAAATTATTAAGCTCTTGCGCCAAGTTCACTTTAAGGCTTCAGCTTTTAGCTAGCTACTTCAGCACCTTCTGCCAGGCTACACCCACTGTCACGACACTTCACGTTTGCTGAAAATTACATGGTCATTTGTAGTGGTTCAAACTTAAGCAAGCTAAAAAGAAGAAAAATTTGCTCAGGTTGCCATTGCTAATGCTTCTCCGCCTTCAACTTCTCATGTATTTCAAGTATTTCCTCATGGAGGACAATCTAACAAAGATGATGATTGACAATGATAAAGAGAGATAGGAATGACAACGGGACCGGTTGGCCATTCCGGTCCCCTATCTCATTGGGTATTTTTGTCACCTTGTCTCGTTCCCATACTCTAGTTAAATTAGGGCGAGGCGGAACGCCTGCCCCATTTATTTATTTTTATTTTATTTTTTATGTCTTTAGTTATTGAATATTATTACTTTTTTTCCAATTTGTTAAGAACAATTCATGTAATCTTTAAAAATGATGATAAATCTGATCTTTTTATTTGATAAAAATTTAAATTTGAAATTAACTTAAAAGGGGACGAGTACCATGTTTCCCGTACCCACCCCCGTACTCGCTTCTGGGTAACGGCCCCTCCCCTGTTTACCCAATTAGGCGCGTAATTCCTGCCCATAATTATTAAAATAGGACCGGCAGGTTCAGATTGGGAACCACCGATCGGACAATGATCCGGTCCGAGTTCATATATTGAACAAATAAACTAAAAAAACCAGTCAAGAGGCTGATTCAAGCCTTGGCCTTCATCTTGAAGTTTCGTGTCCTTCACCATTTTGGAATTTGCTAACCTCAAGTCTATAATGTGAGGCAAATATATGTATTTCAAATTACAAAGTACAACAAAAAATTCATTTTTTCAATTTGCAAAGAGATGATTTGAACCTTGGCTTTGTACCTGAAATTTTAGGTCATTGACCATTTAGGAAGCTGGTGAAACTCTGACAGATGTGAGTCAAACATATATATCTACATTTGGCAAAATAATTTTCTTTTCGTTTCAAAAATATATTTTAATTAAAATTACGATGTAATAATGAACCACAGGTTCAACCACCAATTCACCAGTTGAACCATTGACCCGGTGATCCAATGATTTTCTCAGGTCGACCATCAGATCGGATCTAATAACTATGTCCCCGCATCATTAGGGGTGGGACCCATGGGTATCGAGTTGAACGGATTTTTTTGCCATAGATCTTTACAACGCATAAAAGACTTCAAGATAGTAGACTACTATATGTTGCTATCTAATTTGGGCATGTGTAATATGCACCAAGCTAAAGGGGAGAGTTAGAACAAAGATCTATTTTATGTATTATTCTAGTCCAGCTAGGAATTATTGTTAGTAATAGGATAATATTTTTCCTTTCCCTTTTACATATAGGACCAACTATTTATAGGGTTAATTGTTGAGTCAAGCTTTCAACTAAAACCATTCATGTAAACTGATAGCAATGGGATTATGCATCACTCATTTTTTGTGTACCTAATAAAGAAACAGAGAAGCATAAATACATGAACAAAAACAACAAACAGTTGTCTTACAATACTTTTAAATTCAAGAAGAAATACTTTGTTAATTGACATGATAACGTTAATCATCCTTTGAATACAAGAAAATTTAGTCAGTCGGACACCCATTAATTTATTTTAGAATTTGCTATTGGATCATTTTCAATCGCACATTTACACAATAAAATATTTTACATGTATACCTAAAAAAATTTTCCTCGCTTCTTTTTTTTTTTTTTTATTATAACCGTGAATGTCCGGACCAACTTACTCGCACCTCGACTAATCTCACGGGGTTTGAAATTTATAATCGGGTACTCACCTCAGCGATCCTGAGAGGACTTGAACTGGTGATCATTGATGAGCAAACTCAAAGCCTGATCATTGAGCTATCCCTCAAGGTTAACTTTTTCTTACTTTTTAACCACACATTTTCTAAAAATAGCAGTCAAAACTCAACTTTCCCTCAATTAATGAGAATCAAACAGGCTCTTAGTTTCAAGCATTAAAAGGTGACTTGGAGCAATTTAACAAGTGCAACTATGTACCAGCTGGTAAGGCGAGAAATTCAGCCAGTTCTAGAATACAGTAATCCACACCAATGTTTACCATGCTTCTCCAATTCAAAGAATCAGGCAAATACTTTTAGATCCAAATAATAGAGCAGGCTTTTGTCCACAATGCTTTTATATTCAAAATCGAAATAAACTTCTCCAATTCAAAGAATCATATATGTTTAGATCCAAATAAAACAGAGGGCTGTTGTCCACGATACTTTTAAATAAAAAATGAAACATCCCCTATTCAAAGAATCAAACAAATGTTTTAGATCCACAATTAGGTATAGCCAACAGCAGCGAGATGAAAGCTTTTAAGTGAGCTTATAAGCAGGACTTTCCTGCATACCTTATAAGCCACACCAAAAATGCTAAATGCCAGCTCCAGTACTAAGACAGGAAAGAATACAAACTCAGACCTTTTGGCCTTTATAAACAGAAGGCACACCAATCCTTAATGCTTTTTAGTTTTTCCTATTAAATTGCTTGCCTTAATGATCCAATATTTTTTGTTTGCAAGCTATTCTTACAATCAGAAGTTCATTCTATGGCAAGAGTCACACGACTCGCAATCAAATAACATAATTTCAAGGTCTATATAAATATATTAACTAGAGTGTGGTATAGTTTTAGGTTCTTGATAATTCAAAGAGAGGTTAATTGACCTAATGACAGGAAACCTGGAAAGTGAAGATCGAAATTGCATTCAAATTATATACTTGAAGTATTTTGTTATTTGAGCTCAACTCAAATATTTATTTGAAGATTGAAAATTTCAGCTTGATAAGAACCCTTTTTTTGGTCTTAAAATTGAAGCCTTTAAAGCCAAAATATAAGCTTGGATAGAAAACTGTGTATTATGGTGTACTGTTCAGATTTTATATAGTATACACTGCACGTACATATAACACATTAAACCACATGTGCAATACGATTTTTGAAGAAGAAGAATTTTATCAACTTCGCAAAATTAAAATTGATCCAACGTCTGGCCTTCATCACTATCAAAATCAAGTTCAACCATTTGATAAGTACTGCATTTGGATTTGATAAGTACTTTTGCAACAATTATTAAGATTACTAAAGAGGGAGCAACGGCTTCACCAGTGCCTCTTTTTTATTCAATTTCGTTTAACGATGTACTCTGAATATCAGCACAATAAGGTTTTAGCTTTTCTAAGCTCTTCGGCTTTCCAGGTAATCTGTTATATTGGTTTTCTCTATCTGATAGGGTCAGATACCATGAATTCACCAGAAACAGATTACAAACTGCCAATATAAGCTATTACTTGAAAATAAATGGCTTTCATAATGTTTCACCTTCTTTCACATAAAGGAATCCCAATAAAATATATGTACGTGCAGAATAACATATGTTTGATGATACAACGTAAGAACAACAAATATATAAATAATCAATAGACATTTCACAGAAAACTCCTATGGCTCAAGAAACATTATAATAATTCCCCAAGAAGAAAGAATTTATAGCAAGAAAAATGTCTAAGAATTCAAGTATAGAACCATTTATATAGTGAATTTATCAATTTAATTTCAATTACATCCTAAACATTAATTTCCCATCTCTCTCTTCAAGCATACTAACAGATATTACATAATTTCAATTTTAGAACCATGATAAAAATATAACAGAATACTCGGGATTGAATAACGTTACTAAATTGCGCAAGCTTCATCTTCACGAAGTCCGATTCGGAGGGCGAACCGATATCTGAACAGGAATTGCCCGTCCGGTCCCAGTGCCGCCGCAGCTACTGCAAGCCATCCGCCCCGACCCGGCACAGGTCCGACACCCAACATCGCCATCCGACCAGCGGGTACACATGCACGTGACCCGACCCGTACCGTTACAACTGGAACATCTGGGCAGTCGACCCGGACCGCCCATTGGATTATTATCCATCACAGACTTCACCAGAACCGCCCCAGCCAAAACGCTCAGACCTGTCGCCAGCTGAGTCAATACAATCGGACCCATTACTGCTTCAATTCCTTTTTTCCCCAGAAAGAGTAATCTGTAGATGATAGAACATACAGGAAGATTTTTTGGGGTTCTTTTTATGAATTTTCAAAATTGTGTGTTAGTGAGTGTTTTATAGATCAAGTGGTGGTGGAAGAGTACACGTAATTGTGCTTACAAGTTGGTGGTGCTGGGACGACGGAGATTTGGAGGGTAGTGAGGAATGGGAATGGGAATGGGAATGGGATCTCTTTGGTGACGTTTTTTGTTGCGTTATGCAGCCATTTGCGTTTGCTTTGGTCTTCTCATTCTCCAATTCTAGGAATTTGATCTGCCTTTGACTTGATTATTTTTAATTGGAATATATTACTTATACATAATACGATATTTATAACGGTATTCATCTTCTAATTCACTTCGAATAAATTATATTTGGATAATTTTACTTGTAATTATGTACATGTGAAATTCTATGATTGAATGGTTAACCCTTATATCACTTGTACATTATGGATATTTTTATAGACACTATAATGTACATGTAACATAATCCATTATATTTTATCCGAAATGAGTCCCCTAAGAGAAATGGACATCATTATCGATATCGTGATGTACCCTATTTAATTTTAACTCATAAAATTTATTAAAAACAATATATTTAAAGAATATACACTTGACTCTTCCAAACATCTTAAAACTTTTGAAACCAAGGTCTCAACATATTTTGAAAATTATTTATCTATAAGATTAAACATGCATTTGTCTGTATTTGAGAGATTTTTTCAAAACTCGAAAACACTTGATCTAGAATGGCTAGATGTTGGGACAGCCATATATGTTGAAGCTTTGAAGGCTCTTTGTTATCTCTCGAATTGTACGTATCATTTTTCGAAAAATTATTATAGAACAACTAAAAAGTGGACTTGCTAAAATGGCTAAACGTGGCCTAATTCAAATCGGATATACTCAAGTTCTAAATTGAATATGGGTATTAAAACTGAGAACTAGTCGGTTTCAATCCTATTCTCAGTTCTAACACCAAGAATAAAAAATCATGCATAATCCAAAATTTTTACATTTTATTTTAAACGATAGCTGGTGCAATGTACAGACTATTTTACTTTTTCTTCTCAATTTCACCATAGTACATGATACTTATGTTTAATTTGTTATGATACGTTAATTTTCTTAGATGTAATTTGGGATTAATAAAAGGTTAGGTTCCTATCATCCTTTCCTGGCTAATATTTTCAACCCCTCAAAATATAAAGAAAATGAAGTAAAGTTGGAATGTGTTTTTCTTAAACTCCTTCAAGCCAATAGTTAATTCGCTGATGTAAATCGTTGCATTTAGTCCCCGTTTGATATGGAATTTTTTTTTGCATTTTACAACTTTTTGCTTGTTTGATGGCATAAATTTTCCATGGAATTCATTTTCCCTCCCCCCACGTGACCTTCTTTTTCCTTCAATTGGTAGAAAACCAATCCTTTGATTTTGGTGAGAAAAAGATTTGCAACTTTTTTTTTTTTGGACAATGAAAACAAATTCTATCTACAATTGTAACAAATTTCATCCCTTTAATTGACAATTTTAATGAAAAACAAAGACAAACGAACACTAAAAATGCAAATTTTCAACATTTTTTAGGTGAAAAATTATATCAATCAAACACATTTAATTGACAATTCCCAATAAAACAAGTTTCAGGCAATTCAATTTTCTGAAATTCATTTTCTTTTCGTCTAAATTCAATTCTTACAATCAAGCAGACCCTTAGTTAAACTTGAAAAATATAATCATTAGTAGATGGTTCAATTTTTTTAGAATCGGACTTGATTATTTTTAATTGGAATATCCTACTTGTACATTATGCGGTATTCATAACGATATTTACCATCTTCACATGAAGAATAATCCACTTCAAATAAATTATATTTTATTCGAAATGAGTCCCTCTAGAGAGGTGGACACTATTATGACTCCCTGATGTACCCTTTTAATTTTAACTCAAAAAATTTATTAAAAACAATATATTTAAAGAACATACACATAACTCTTCCAAACATCTTAAAACTTTTGAAACAAAGTTCTCAACATAATTTGAAAATTATTTTTCTATAACCTTAAACATGCATTTGTCTGTATTTGAGAGATTTTTTCAAAACTCGAAAACTGGTGAGGTTTATGTGGAGGAACAGATATTGGTATACATGGAACGATTGGATGGTCGTCTTTCAAAAAAATTGATGTAACTTTTGCGTTTGGTGTTCGTTTTGGGCCCATAACCCCATTTCGGAAAGGTAGCGAGCGTTTCGGGCATTTGAAGTCGTTTAGTGTGTCAAAACAGCATTTTAAATTTTTGTATTATTTATTTTCAACATTTGTTATTTCCATTTTGTAGCCTAGCCCATTTTGGGACTGCTGGCCCAATATGTTATCTTTTTTTTCATATTTAAGACGCTGCAGGACGCCTCCTAGGGTTTTCTTAGTTGTTCACGAAATAATAAAAGTTTGTTTCTGAATTCAATCCGTTTGGTTATTGTTGTCGTGTGTTTGTAGATTTAATCTACATCATTTTGATATCAGAGCATGGTGCGTGGGAGAGGACGTGGTGGTCGTGGTGGCCAGATTGATGAAGTTGCAAATCTGCGTAGTCAAGTTGAGGCGTTGACAATCCGATTTGATCAATTCATAACGTGGGCGGCAGAGGTTGTGCAGAACGGAACACCTCCTGCTCCTCCACTTCGTGCCCCAGTGAGTGATGGTGGGGTGGATCTGAATCAGGGAAGAGGTCGGATGAGGAGACCTTATCAGAGGCAAGTGGCGATCGTGTTCAACAGCCTCGTGTGCAACAGCAGGAAGCGTTTCAACGATGGGAATCCGGATTCAAGGTTGATATACTTGAATTTCACGGTGGAATTGAGGCAAATGAATTCCTCGATTGGCTGGCGGCAGTAGAGGAGATCTTGGATTACAAAGAAGCGCCCGACAATAAAAGGGTACCTTTGGTGGCGACTCGTCTGCTTGGTCGTGCTGCTGCATGGTGGCAGCAATTGAAGCAAAACCGGATCCGTCAGGGTAAGGCGAAAATCCAGTCGTGGGAAAAATGAAGAAACAGTTGAAGGCAGCGTTTCTTCTCTTTAATTATTTCAGGACTTTGTATCAGCGCTTACAGAATTTGAGACAAGGCAATCGATCTGTAGATACTTATTTCACAGAGTTTTACCAACTGATAGCGCGAAATGATGTGGGATAATCAGAAGACCAGTTGGTAGCGTACTATATTGGTGGACTACGACTGAATTTGCAAGACGTCCTAAATATGTTCTCGCTGGTATATGTTTCTGAGGCTCACCAGCGAGCACTTCAGGCTAAAAATCATCAACAACAACGTCGTTTTGTAGTAGGCATTTCTGGTGGTCCATCTGGAGGTGGGGGTCGACAATTCGCCCCAAATCCCACATCTGGTCCATCCTAATCCTTTATATCTGGGGGTCGGGGCGTTGATCGGAACACTCGGCCAGTGGTTCCTCCAACCATTAATCCGGGTGGCTGGGCTCCTCCTGGTGGACGAGGGCGTGGAAGTCAGTGTTTTGGTTGTAGTGGTTTTGGTCATTTGAGGAAGGACTGTCCATCTCATGGGCAGCCACGCCCAGGTTTGTTCATTGGAGGGACAACATAAGCCGATGTTAACAATCTTGTTCATGTGGAGAATGAAGAAGAAGAGGCTGAAATTGTGCATACAGGTGACACGGGGCCTCTTTTGGTGGTCCGACGGGCTTGCCTTACGCCTAAAGGGTCGTCTGAGAACCTGCAGCGAAACAATATCTTTCTGTCTACGTGTACCATTGGAGGAAAGGTGTGTAGGTTTATCATTGATTCGGGCAGTTGCGAAAATGTGATATCTGAAGCGGCCATGCAGAAGCTGCAGTTAAGCACCGAACCTCATCCTGCTCCCTATAGCCTAGCATGGTTGAGACGAGGTAATGAAATTCGTGTTACTAGCCGTGTGTTGGTATCTTTTTCTATTGGCAGTGTGTATCGTAATAGTGTTTGGTGTGATGTGGTGCCGATGGATGCGTGTCATTTGTTGTTGGGTCGTCCGTGGTAGTTTGATAGGGATGTGTGTCATGAAGGGCGTCGAAATGCATATACATTCACTTTTTCGGGTAAAAAGATTGTACTAATACCCTCCAAAGATACACAGTGTCTGTCTTCAGCAGGGGACAACAGTAATCTCCTTTCCCAATCTTTGTTTGTGCGTGAGATGCTGGCAAAAGGTGTTGTACTGTTGTTAGTGGGAACTGAGACGACAGGAGTGTCGACAGTTACTATGGTAGCCGAGGGGACAGGTCTTCACCCCAAAGTTGCCGCCTTGATGTCTAAGTTTCATGATGTGTTTCCGGATGACCTTCCACAGGGTCTTCAACCTTTGCAGGATATGCAACATCACATTGATTTGGTACCGGGCGCGTCATTGCCAAATCGCCCACATTATCGAATGAGCCCAGTGGAACATGAGGAGTTGAGGAGACAAGTAAAGGAGTTGGTACAGAAGGGGTACATCAGAGAGAGCCTCAGCCCATGTGCAGTCCCTGCACTCTTAGTGCCAAAAAAAGATGGGAGTTATCAGATGTGTATAGATAGCAGGGCCATCAACAAAATAACAGTTCGTTATCGCTTTTCGATACCGAGGCTAGATGACTTGCTTGATCAGTTGGCCGGCGCAACTGTGTTTACCAAATTGGACTTGAAAAGTGGTTACCATCAGATAAGAGTTCGTCCTGGTGATGAGTGGAAGACAGCATTTAAGATACGGGAGGGATTATTTGAGTGGCTAGCTATGCCGTTTGGACTATCCAATGCACCGAGCACGTTCATGCGGGTGATAAACCAAGCACTTCGACTGTTTATTGGTAAGTGCTTTGTTGTATACTTCGATGACATATTGGTGTACAGTGGGTCGGAGGAGTCTCATGGTGTGCATCTTAAGGAAGTCCTTACTGTTTTACGCAAGGAGAAGTTCTTTGCAGCCACTAAGAAGTGCGTGTTCTATACCGATATGTTTTATTTTTGGGGTATGTTGTGTCAGTCGGTGGGGTAACGGTGGATGCAGCTAAGGTTGATGTGATTCGGCAGTGGCCGCGTCCACAGTCAGTTTCTGATGTGCGGAGTTTCCACGGTTTAGCGTCGTTTTATCGACGATTTATTCAGCACTTCAGCAACATCATGTCTCCCATTACTGATTGCAT